ATTAACCATCTTAGCTTTCCAAATTACGAGGTGCACTCCAATCTGAGAAAGAACGGGGGAGTTGTGGCTTTTATCCGCAGCAGTCTTTCCTGCTCCAGAGGTGTACCTTTGGAATCAGATCGGAAGGACATTCTGTGGCTTCGCCTCAACTCCAAGACATCCCCCAAATTTATTTGCTGCTTTTATTGCTCCACAACTGGGATGACCTACTTGAATACCTCTCCGTCAAGATCGACTTCCTGAACATCAATCATCCCGCTTCAGAGGTTGTTCTCCTCGTGATTTCACTGCCCATAATGAGCTCAAACAAGACCGATGCAGCAGGTCGTGCAGTTGAAGCGTTCGCTCTTACTCAAGGGCTGACTCAGCTGGTGACAAGCCCTACTTTTTACCCCGCGTCTCGTCACATGCCAGTAGCCTGCTGGATCTCTTTCTGACCACGCATCCTGTTGCCCTGCGCCCCCTGGGTAATCAGACCACGGTGTTGTTTCGGTCAGAACCCGTTGTGGCAGCAGAAACTCGCACAGGCCGCAAATTTGGCATTACGGACATGCCAACTGGGAGGGGCTCAAAGACTTCTCTACCGTTCCTTGGAGAGATGTCTGTTTCCCTATCGCGGATGCGACGGCTGTCTGTTCTTCAATAACAGAAATTATCCACGTCGGAGTACAGTGAAAGTGCCTAAACCAGGGTCCTACGGCTGGTTTAACAAATCGTGTGACACTGCTCGCCAGCAGAAGATAAAGGCACACAGTACCTTCTTACAAAACCCCACTCTAGAGAAGCCGACCTTGAGTCCAGAAACAAATATAACGAAGCGGTTCGCAATGCCAAAAACCAGCACGATATAAAAGTTAGGCACAGGGTAATGTCGCAGCGCAATGGCTGTCGGTCTTTCTGGATGCTGGCCAAGCAGATTGAAAAGAAGCTTTCCACCACTTACGTGTCAGGATGGAACGATTGTATCCGACTAAAAGGCCAAATAAGAACTGCTTGCCAAGATATTTGCTATCAACTCCACCATGTACGTCCGTCCCCCCAACGCCCAAATGCCGTCAATTCAAAGGGGGGCGGGAGGTAGCATTCAGGCATAAGACCGTAAGACGAGTGATCTTGTCGCTCGACATCAACAAAGCTTCTGGTTCGGACTTGATTCCTGCCATTGTACTGAAGAGGTGTGCAGCGAAGCTTGCTCCAGTTCTTTCGCGTCTCTTCCAGATATCTTATGAATCCGACACCTTCCCAGAAAACTAGACACTTGTTCATGTCCAACCCATCCCAAAAAAAGGATCTAAGCCCGACCCTTACAACTACAGGCCCATAGCTCTGCTTTCTGTTATATAAGTAAGGTGATGGAGAGGTACATAAATCGCGAGCTTCTGGACTACCTCGAACGTCACAGCATCCAGACTTATGGTGAGGCTCATGTCGTTGCTGTTGACATCACGAAAGCGTTCGATCAGCTGTGGCTGACTTCATCTCTGGCCGCAAGATATCCGTCGTAACTGACGGATTCTCCTCTTCATCCCACAACGTCAACGCGGGTGTTCCCTAGGGATCGGTCTTGGCTCCGACACTGCCTTTGCATATCAACGACCTTTTTTCCTGCACGAACAACCCATTCCACAGCTTCGCTGATGGCAGCACTCTACATGCAGGAATTCAGAGTGACAAGCCGATCTCTGCCGCTGAGCTGAAAAAAGAACACTATCGACGACTTCCTCTCTGACGAGAATTCTGGAGCTTGGGGACACAACAATATTGTACATTTTAATGCCTATAAAACGAGTTCTGCCAAAGAGCCATTTATTTCGGATGATTGGAGTCCAGATCACCGAGGACCTGATCTGGCACGAACACATCTCGTCAATAGCGGCAGCGGTTGGGAAAAAGCTAGGTTATTTGTTTAGGGCTAAGAAGCTTTTTATTCGACAACAAAGAATGAGAAAACATGTGTTTGATATTCAATCGAAAGTGTTGGCACGAACGAAAAAACTCTTCAAATAAGATTTTTAGGTATTTATGAGACCCACAGAATGAGACCACACGTAAAGAAATCCGACTAATAGTAAAAAAGTTATGGTCGAAAATCTAGGCAAGATGCAGGTTTTCGCACTTGTTGGTAATGCGACGATAGTTTCACACAGATACTTGAAATTTTTGACATTCTTAGGCTTCATACTTCTAAATATAAATAATGACAATAAAAATGGAGTCGATTGGTCAAGCAGTTTTTGAGATTTTCTAATCGTTTATCCCCTTCGTTTTTCGCATAAAAATAACAATTATCTCTCGGAATGGTTTGTGATTCATGTCGGCAAGGTAAACGCGTGTATTTCGCTATGAAATGCTTTTGAAAGAAGCCCTCAGTAAACTAGTAGTGATGGCAGGAAGACAGGGTCGGATCTTTTTACTTGTAGTCTTATTCTGTAGGTCTCATAAATACCTAAAAATCGTATTTGAAAAGTTTTTTTACCTGGCAACACTTTCGATTGATTCCCAAAAAACATGTTTTCTCATTCTTTGTTGACGAATAAAAAGTTTTCCCACAAAAATGGGTGTACCCATTTTATGCGTCTATGATTTAAATATCCCCTTGAACAACTTGCATCAATAAAACCAGACTTCACAATTATTTCGGGGAAATGTGCTAGTATGATTAGACTATACAATGCAATTATTGTATTAATTGTGTGCAAAAAGACAGTAACATAACTCATGTCTAGGCATGAGAAGTATAATGAAATGCCATAATTTATTTGGCTTAGCACTAACGACTAGCACAACGTTTTATCCAACTCAAAATTTAGAAATATTTTACTCTTGTAGAGGTTACATAATCCATTGTTTGATTTCTGTATGCTGTTATTCACATGTACTTTAATCTGAATTTGTTATAAAAAACCAAATGCCAAATTTTGTCCCTATTCTCCAACAGAGACGTTTTTATTACCTATATAAGGGTTAATATTTTCTCTACCCCATCTCTCATTGGAACAAAAAAAAATGAAAACATATTTATAGGGATTAACCTTTAGTCTATTTCTTTGGGAGTATGTGTATATATGGTCCAACTAATTATTTATACGTTTTTTCAATTGTTCGATCGTCCTTTTTGAATTCAGTGTACAAATTTATATCGCGAGCATACCGAGGCATCTTGAAATTGTTTAGATGAGTGTGGACATTCATAGTAAATATTAAAAATAAGAGGAATCCAAGGATGGAACCTTGTGGATCCCTCTGTCAATTTTCTGACATCTTAATCAAATCCAAGCGGATAACCAAAATTTCCGTATTATGTACCGCGGTTATAATATGGTTCAAGATGACACACGGGATGGTGACGTCAGTTACTCGAATCGCTTGAACGCGTTGGTTTTAACCGCGGTTTGTTGCAAGTTGTTTATTTTAGAAAAGCGTGTATATAATTTCTGATTATTTTTATTATCACTTAATAATCGGTGCTTTTTCGTCTACAACGGGGTATGGAAAGTTGAAAAAAAGAAAACTTTCATAATACTAATGGGAGGAATGTTTTTTTTCCGAAAAAAATTTTTACTGATGGAAGCATGGCTTTGTAGCTATGATAACTTTCAATTCTCTAAACTTTTCCGCATGTCAAAGAAAATATTTATTGATTTAGCAGAAATGATGGAAAAGCGATGAAAAAAAGATATTAACAAAACAGTATACAGGTGGACATCATCCGGTGAGTTTATACGGCCTTATTTTAATATTCTTGTGGTATATGGCTATACAGGATACTTTTTTAAGTGTAGGAACTAGATTTAAAGTGTCCCCAACAACAGTGATGATTATAAATAATAAGGTGCTCTCTTATGCTAAAACTGAAGTCAGCCTGTATGAAGTTTCCCAAAAATGAAGCTGAAGTACAATAAAAATATCCAATACCCGGCAAAATTCTAACTTGTCACATAACCAGAAATATAAAACTACTCCGGAGGTGGGTAAATACCACAATTTTGCGGTGATAACTATGACATATAACAGCTGATTCATGACGTCACGGATCTTATAACCAATCTGATAACCAACTCGCTTGAACGGATCGGTAAATACCAATCCAAAATGGTAAGTACCATTTCCATTTGGTTATCCGCTTGAATTTGATTCTTGATATTTGGTTGTCAACTATGACTTTATATGTACATCCTTCCAGGTAGGTAAAGATAAAACATGTATCACGTAAAAGTCCATAATAATTTAGTTTGGCACACAGCAACTTGTACCTTGCTGCAGTCGAGAAGGATTAAAGCTGTTGTCTCCCCCTGATCTATACACTGAGTATGTCATCCACTACTTTCATTAAAGCTGTTGTTGTACTTTAACCTTTATTAAATACTAACTGTACACTCAGGTATCAAATCAAGTTTATTCCAGAAATTGATAACCTATTTGATTGTAGATTATTTAAAAAAAAAAAAAGTTGCTGTCATAGATAACAAACTTAATGGTCTGAATTCCTTTATATCTTTTGGCGACGATACGACATTTACTACTATTCGTCATTGTTCGTAAGAGTGGTCCGGTGGACCTTTGCTCTTAGTTAAAAGTCTCATCGGTCTGTTAGGCTATCAGGTCTGGCTGCAAAGATACCAAACATGTTTAAGGCGACAAGGAAAAGAAGGAAGAAACTGAACAAAGAAAAGAAGTAGATCATCAAAAGCTCAAGGATTAGTGTTTTGACTACTCAAATAATTTTGTTGATCAAACTTAATTTTGAATTTCTGCACAACAAAGGATAATGCTGCCGAAAGGTAATTTGGAATTTTGTTTTCAAAATATCAGTATGTTTCTGCCAGCTCAATGATGACTCCAAGGTACCTGATAGATTGCTCCCATTGTATGCAATTCCATTCACTGATATCTCTGATGGGGCACAGCCACGTTTTTTTAGTACAATAGATTGCATGCGTTTTCGTAGTATTAATTTTGTGATATGACATTTTACATGAAAGTGAAATGAAACAAAATCCATTTGAACAATTTATTGGATAAACAACAGATAAAATCTATTAAGTTAAAAAAATACCTTATGGCTCTAATGTTTATGCTTTCAGGCAAACAATCACTTAAAACTTGTAATTAAATATAACGATTGTAAAATACAGGTATCCCCTAAAATTGAAAAAGTTTGGTGTAGGTACAAATATTGTCCTCAAAGATATTTCAATTAATAAATAGATAATTAATCAATCAATCAATGGTATGTGGTATTAGCCCTTCACATCGATATTCGATTACTCATATCCCATTAGTAAAGTTAGATACAGATTCACAAAAAATATGATATAAAACTTGTAAAAGATACAAGTATGAATAATATTCTGAGAGAGAGTTATTCATTGCTAGATTGACATGCAAGTACATTGAGCACCAAATAAATACATGTCAATATAATCTTGAATCTGTCAGTTCTACTCATCTTATAACAGATTGAAAGAACAGTCTATACTTGACAGTCTCCAGCCATTTCTGTTAAAATGACAATCTTTTGGAGCATCATATACACATGTCAAATTATGGAATTTAACTATACTTTCAGTTCTGGCCCAGTATATGGAAACATGTCATTCCAATACCAAGATGGAGATTTGATTTCATGTAATTTAAATACATTTTTGGATACCTGATTCAACACAGCAAAATATGAACACAATCTTGGACCATTATTTGGTATCATGGTACCATAAGGAGGTGCTAGGATATCAAGGAATGCAGCTGGCCCATCTACACTCTCAATTTCATGGAGATTCTTTTCATTTGGTTCTAACATACATGGCTTGCTTGAGGTATCAAGGATTTCTGAAGAAACAAGTTCTGCCGTTACAATGTTCTTCCTAAAAAAAATGTGTTGATGTAAAAGAGATAGCAGAGCTAACCAAAAAAGATTGCGAGATTTACATTATATTAAACTTTTAATATACACCAAAATGATTTTAAGGGGTAAGCACTCTACCTGTATCGATAATGACAATAAATGTATTGTTTACATCCTTGATATTAGATTATTATCTACAGAAATACATCATTCAACTTTAGAAAATTACCTGGAGAATAACTTTGTTGGGTGGTCATCCATGAAGCTCCTCCGATCTACTTCTAATGTTTTAGGTGTATTCAAAGAATAACTCGTGATTTTGACTTTTCCTGATATTACCTTAATCAAACCGTACATTTCTGGGTGGTTATGCAAGGGCAAATTACCCCCTGGTTTCAGAATGAAAATGCCCATTGTTAGATTTTCATCTTCATAGATATCAATACATGTAACTGGGGCCTTTCCAGGTCGTGACCAGAGCGATTCAGTAGCAAACTGTGGCTGTAAATTCACATCTTCAGCAGTGATTTTTTCCAGGAGATTTGATAGAGCATTTAAATTTGGGGCAAACAACTCTGACTTCGACGTAAAAGTGAGAATCGCCTGCTTCAAAACGTTGTTTATGTGGGTTGCCATCTGAGCGCAAACTACGATCTGGTTATGATTACAAATTCTAGAAGCATTTGCCCCAAATAAAGAGCAGTTTGAATTTGAATTCACTCTGAATGAAAACAAAAAATGTTTGACATCATGAGTGAAACGTCATTTTCCAAATTTTTAATATCAGTGTTGCCAATAACAGAACAAGAAATTATAGATTGAATATAAAACAATGTTATGCCCATCTCCATTTCGGAATTTCAACCTCCGTCCAACAGATGCCTGCACAGTGCTACACCAGAGGCGTAACAGATAAAATTTATAGTTCAGGTGTAGGTTGATAAAATTATCTGCGATTTTCTTCAAAACGTCAGTCACAAAAATATCCCAACATTAATCGAAAATCGATTTATCTGAATTTGCAGCGTCAATATCACTCACTGTTTCTCTAGGATCCAAAGTTGACAGAAATTACCCACACAGCAGTAGCTAAATGGATATAGACTTCCTTTGTATAGCATGTGAATAGAGACTTTGCAATGGAGGTACTCAAATAGGGTAAGACTATACTTTAGCGCATATCGCAAATAATTCATTTCTTACTTTAAAATGAAAGATTAGGATGTAACTTGCTCCCTGCAATGATACTGACGCGAATCTAAGATCCTTGATGTCAATAACTTTTGTCTCTAAAGTCCTGAAATAGAGCAACTAGTTGCTGAAAATCGCACTATCGGCTTTGCAATGTTGTATTTGCTGACGGAGAACTTTTATCATTATTTCAGAAATTCGAACCCATAGGCATCAATACCTCTCGACATCTCTGCGATCCAGCTAAAGAATGCCTGATTTCTTCAGAATGTTTGCCGATGTAGGTTCGCTATCAGGATCACAGAATCGCGAGGGGCATATAAATGGTACTCTGCTCATGCTGATACTGGCGAGAAATTCAAATCTTCGGCACCAATACCTCTCCATTTTTCTGCACTTGTGATACAACATTAACAGTTGCTTTAAGTCGTACTATCGACCAAACTTATTCGTAGAATTTATGTAACGTGATTCTGCTGCGATACTGGCGTTTAATTCATGCCGTCAATACCTCGACGACTCTGCGATGCTGATACAGAACAACTAATTGTTGAACATCGCGCTGTCGGCCAGACTTTCTAGATAAAATATGCCGATGGAGATTTGCTCTCCGGATCACAGAAGTACGACGAGGTGCGTAAATCGTACTCTCGTCCTGCTACGAGACGGGCGCGAAACTCAAATCCTTCCGCCGCCTCTTCAACATTGAGTTGCAGAAAACAGCATTAACGACAATCATACATTCTCCATAAACTTTACCGAGAGAGAATGGCTATCAGGGTCACAGAAACATGAGGAGGTATGTACTCTGCTTCGATACTGGCAAGAATTTCATATACCAATACCCGAGAGACTTCTCTGTACTAGTGATACAACACTAACAGTTGCTAAAGTCGTACTATGGACCAGACTTCTTCGTATAATTTATGGAACGTGATTTGCTATGAGCATCACAGAAATGCGAAGAGGTATGTAAATGGTACCCTGTTTCTGCTGCGATATTAGCGCTAAATTCAAATCCTTCCGTCAATACCTCTCGACGTCTCTGCAATCCTGATACAGACGAGTTAATTATTGAACATGGAACTGTCGACCAGACTGCCTACATAAAATTTACCGAAGGAGATTTGCTATAAGGATCACATAAGCGCGAGGAGGTATATAAATGGTACTCTATTCCTGCTATGATACGGCGATGAATCAAAATCCTTGGCGCCAATAGCTCTCGACTGTTCAGCACCCCAGAGCTGCTTTCCAGTGTTTTTTTTTGTTAGAAAGTGATATGCTCCCGAACTGTTCTAGAAAATGTGTAGGGGAAGCGCGGTAGAACGATATTGTTGCTGAGCCTACCGAGTTACTCTGAGTACCTGAACTAGGTCACTGGAAAGTAGCTCTGATGTAACATTTGCTTAAAATCTTACTGTCGACCAGACTTTCATCGTAAAATTTATGGATGTAGATATACTATCAAAAACATAGAATCGCGAGGAGCTATGTAAATGGTACTTTGCACTTGCTATGATCCTGGCGCGAAAAAAGCACCTCTGGTAGTCGAAGCTCCGGCGACACGTCCGTATGCCAATGAAAATGGTGACAAGAATAGTATCAGAGTGTAGCTGGTAATGGGGGAATACACGTTCACTGATGCCGTACGGGCACATAATGTTGCAAAGTTCCTCAATTGATCGATAGATAGAACACAGTTATATACAAAATTATTAAATTTATTAAAAAAATTAACAATGAAAATATGCATATAAAATTTCAGATACTCTTTCACAGCCTGAGCAGCACTTCAACGTACTGAGTATACCTTGATTGCCTTAATCTTACACTTTTCAGCTGTGTAATCACAGTGTTAAGTATGACTGACAAGTATATTAAAATAAAATTTATGTTATACAGCTATGTAGATGTCTCGTAAGATATCGTCAGTGAATTAACTTTATAAGTGACATTACCAATGTTCATCAAAAATTATAAATAAAGCAGTAATAACACATGGTTTGTTTGTTTTTGGACAAAAGTTAGACTACACTGATTACACATTGAAATATTTATGTAGTTAGATAAGACAGATACAGATGTTATTGCTGTCAAAAACATTACACATTGAAATTTTTATGTAGTTAGATAAGACAGATGCAGATGTTATTGCTGTCAAAAACTTGACTCTTTATGAAAAACGGCTTTAAGATGGAAATCGTTCAAAGTATAATGAACTTTACTTGAAAATACACCATCAGATCAGAAAATAATACCTTGAATTCATTAAAAAAATCTTCAATTTTATGGGTATAAATAAACAGTTTGACAAATTGGAGCTTCATATGCTTTTTGAGATTGTACCAACATACAAGGTGGTGCAAAGTTAGAGCAATACATTTTTAGTGGAAACAATCCGCGTTTACCGTTGTACACCATGGTTTCTTTATTATCAATGTGATGTGTGTACATCACTTGCCTCCCTCACTAGGATGCCATGGTGATGTCACCAGCGTCAACACCAGCCAAACTAACCAATTTAAATATATGGCAGTCAAATTTTTGGCATCCGTCGTTGCTAATCGACAGGTTAGGGAGCTTGGAGCTGACATATTTCAGTCTAGCTCAGTGAGGGAAGACTCGGAATATATCACTACTTTTGTATCGAATAGGATTAAGATTTATTTAGGATTTGGATAATCTTAAATATGAGACGTTTCTATCATAGCACATTGAGACTAGGATCATCTACATTCAATCGTTGACATTATGACAAGTGACCTTTACCTCCAGAATTTTTAAACTGCATCTGCGTTTATATTGATTATTACTTGGAGGATTGGCCCATCCTCATCCTAACTGATTATCTTGGGAATTTTGAATATTATCTTAAAATCATCCTACATAACACCTGTACCTCATTAAGATTATACATACTCTAAATTATTAACTAACTGTAATCAACAGAGTGGATCTCTTTCTTCATATGAGCTGCAAAAGATGTTGGATCATTGATAAGATTTGTCCAGACTTTATAATATTGATCAGCTGTAATATTTTCATCATGGATATTGCGTTCTTTTAAAAATGTTCTCCAGATCTACAACAAATACAAGAGACCTAAATTCTCATTCACCTTTACTTACACACTTGTTTTTTATGAAGAATTAATTCACAAACTCCTTATATGAACTCAAAGAGACAAAATATGCAATCTTGAAAAAATACATTATTTTTTAATTAACCATAACATTGATATAATGTTTAAACCTAACATTGACAAAGAATAACTTACATGTTCATCTGGTACATCAGATTCATAAGGTAGATTGCCCAATGTGCCTTGGGTAAATATTTGTAGTTTATAGAGAAGATAGTGATAAGTATACATTTTATCTCCTTCTACAGCCTGAAAAATAATAAAAAATGGAAAAAATTACCTGCTCAGATGTCTAACAATGAAGTAAGCTAGGTTGATTTCAGCATTACATATAGAACACATAATGATCCAAAATAATATTTTGGTTAAGATCTCAGCAATAAGTTGGTCATAAGAATTTCACCATGGTAATATATATATAGGATATAGGGATACAATTTATCATAGGAATTACAGCAAGGTAATTTTTCAGATATTTCCATTTCTTTACAACATTAACATGACTGAAATGGACATACTGTATTACTATTTCTGTAACCATACTGTTTCATGCTCATTGGCAATTCATCATGTATGCCTAGAAAGCTATTGATGGTTTGCTTTGTGGATACTTGGTATTTACACACCTTGATGGATTGACCATGATGGTGGTGTAACATCTTCTGTGCATAGCACATCTAACAACTGTGAACCAGAGGATGTAAGGGTCCTCTGTCATCTGCATTGCATGGGATGAGAATGAAAATCATCTTAGGTAAGCTATGAGTAGGTGGTGTTCATCACCTACATGTGCACAAAAATGAAATGTTTCCAAGAAATAACTTTTGCATGCAAGATCAAAAATCAATTACCTTGAATGTTATAGAGTGTTTACTACAGCATTTAACAGAAAAGACACTTGTTTTATAATAATTCCCTCCAGGAAAGAATACATGGTACCAGCTATATGGGTGAAATATTGAAAGACCTTCCTTGTCTTTAGCATCACTAGGTGTTATGTTTAACTTAGCTAAGTATTTTCCTATATATATATAAAAAAAATGGGTATTAGTACATAGAGTATATTCATATTTTTTCTACTCCTCTTCTTACCTAAATAAAAGTCTTCTCTATTCCAATAAGCATGATTTAAACACTCTTTTTCTGAATATGCCTTTTGGAAAGCTTTGATTGCTGCTTTACTTAAAATGTAACCAGCCTCATTTGAATTGTAAATTGTATTCCAAAATTTAACAGCATATCCTAAATAATACTTGTCAAGCGGATTCAAAGGTGCCAAGTAATACTTTAGGTTTTCCATGATAGCAAATGTGTTGTCATTAACAACTAACACCCAGTCATGTTTGTGGTGGATATCTAACAGTACCTTGCATAAGAGTATCCAAGATGAGTGTTCTTTTGTCCTCATACCGGGAAGCTTTTTCTTATCTGTGCTTACAGTTTCCACATAGTGAATATTATTGCAACCTCTGGCCCAAGTATTTTCTGCAGCTTGAACATTCTTGTTGTTACGTACAATAATAAGACAAAGTACATTGATTTCCTTAAACAAGACGTCAGCTTCTAATATAAAAGTTATATTGGAATATCTCAAAGCATCCCATGGCAAAACTTTACGTTGTATTCCTCTTTTCAGAGACCAATTATCATATGATGGAATGTGTTTTATCATATGTGAATCTATGCTTGATTTTATAGCTTTGTTTGTCGCACTTTTACACCCTAAATATAAACCAATTATTAATCCTAAACAAAATATTGCAACCCTCAAATAAAAGTGTGTCATTACTGGTGCTTTTACATTTTTAAGCAATAAAATTATAGGCTTCCTAGAATTTTTATCTTTTACACTTCAGCTGTCAAGTGAGAACGAATAACGAATGTCGCCAGTATTATAATATTACAAAAAAGAAAGTCCCGGAAAATGTAGATTATTGTATACATAATTTAACCATCTCTATATTTGAGTTATCCTTTATAACCGATAGATGGCAGAAACGTGTTCAGTGTTGCTAATCACATGAAGCGATATTAATTGGCGGGAATTTACTTTGAACATAACCCTGTATAACTACAACTTTTTAACAAACCTTTCTTCATTTCCAACGTATAATAGTATCTGTAGGCGAGTTATTATGGCAGAAATTAGCGAAGAAAATCTAACAGTATTATTGCCTTTATATTATAGAAGATTGTTTCCACATATACCTTTTTACAGATGGTTGAGCTATGGTGAGTTTGCATAATAATTCTAGGCCTTTTGACTAAAACATGAAATATTGTTACTTCTAAAAATTACGTATCTCAACTCCCTAAAACCCTAATACTAGTATATCTGTTCTAGTAAAACTATTAGGCATTACCCTCTCACTGTGTATCTATTAGTATGGATAAATTTAGTTATCATGGTTCCAGGAAGTCAGTTGAAGTTCGCAAAACGAGAAATCTCCTTTACACTTGTGGGAGATATCTACATCCGTTTCCAGTCATTTGACAACCAGGAATCTTTTGCATCTGAGTTACAGAAGCGATACCCAATAAAAATTGACATTGGCGCTATATACTCAATAAAGCCCAAAGACCGTAGTCCTCTAGTACCAATGATACCATCTGAACGAGAGATAGTCTTTGATATTGACATGACAGATTATGATGAGGTGCGAACATGTTGCACAGGAGTGGATATATGCCAAAAATGTTGGAAATTCATGGCAATTGCATGTAAAATTCTGGATGTAGCTCTGAGGGAGGATTTTGGATTTGAACACCTGCTATGGGTATTCTCTGGCAGAAGAGGAATTCATTGTTGGGTATCTGATGAGACAGCGAGAAAAAGTGATGAAGCTGTTAGAAGTGCTATTGCAGATTACTTAATGGTAGTCAAAGGAGGAGTAAATGTTTCAAAGAAAGTTCAGTTGCCTGGAGAAAAGATTCACCATTCTATAATGTGAGTCAAGTTCTCTAAAAGTAAGATGGAAGCAGAAGTGTAGGTCCTAACAGTCTAAAGTTGTTATTTATATATGCAGGTTCTAATATGCCAAATGCTTATTCTGCCCCGCTATGACCAGCTAGTATCAAATATGTCCCATCATGCACATGTATGCGAATAATTACATCGCTAAAAGATTTAAAATTTATCGACTGTATCACTAAGCAAAGTTACGTTCTAGGAGAGCAGTTCAAATTATTGATATATACTTCCTGGATGACATAGTCAAAGACCAAGACATTCTTGGAACAGAGGACAGATTGAACAATTTTCTGGCAATAATTGATGATAGTTTGAAACCAATATTTAAGAGCCCAATGAGGAAAGCAGAGGGATCACTTGAGAGATGGAAGATTTTCAATGATACTTTCATAGATTTGCTGCACAAGGTAGGTGCTTAGTGCAAAAAAATGTATCTGCTGGGCATTTCAAATTTGACTCTCGCCATTGGGATCTCAGAAATAGTAAGAACCATGAAGTCAGGTTAAATGGGGGCAAAGTTGCACATTTAGGTAATGAACAGCATGGCAAAGGAAAGATTCATTTTGAGTATTTGACCAAGTTGACAAGAATTATTTCTGTGCATGTCCACTCCATTAACAGAAGTAGGAGAGAAATTGCAGGTAGCAACTGTAAATGTGCCTCAGGTGGGGAAATAAAGTTTACACAAGATGCACACAATTTAAATTCTACTTGTTTAAAAATTCCCCAATGCATGAGGAGTGTGAATGTGCCCTTGTGCAAGAAACAATCCAATATGCCATGCATAATAAATGAGAAAATACATTGAAATTCTAATTATACCACCTTGTATTGGAGAAAAAGTAGCAATGTTAATGTACAATTTACTTAGATATCCCACCTCAAAAAAAGTCAGGAAAAATAAAAACAATTTTGAAAGAATTCAGTTTTTTCTGTCTCTTAAGAAGTACCCTAATTGCAAAACTGCCATTTTCTTAGTTACCTAAATGCACATCTGTCTCAACCACTTCGAAGATCCCAATGGTTGAATTTGAAGCACCTAGTATATTACATGTATAAAATTATTTCTTAATCAAAGCAATCTTGATGTTTTTGTGGTTCATTTTAGAATCAGATACCCAAGAATCTGAAAAACTTGAGGGAAGAAATAAAGCTGTACTATGCATACCCCAGATTGGACATAAATGTAACCAAAGGTCTTAACCATTTGCTAAAAGCTCCTTTCTGTGTGCATCCAAAAACTGGGAAGATCTGTGTACCATTCAATCCAAAACTGGTGGATAATTTTGATCCCTGCAATGTACCTACTTTAAAGTGAGTTTAACTCATGCTCTAAAAATATCTTTTTGATGTAATATTTTGTTTCAGTTTGCTTGTTGATGAAATTAACGCATATGACAAGAAAACAAAGGAACAAGAGGATGCTCTGATGGAAACAGATCAAACCACCACCCAGAAGGCAAAAATTAAGGATTATAAAAAAACCAGTCTGCTGAAGGCTGTTACATTGTTTGAAGAATTTCTTAGACCACTGGAAAAAGCTGAGAGGCTAAAAAGATCTGAAAATGGTAAGGAACTTTCATTTTATAAAGAATACAAGAGCTGACTCTGAATTTCAGAACATTATAAAACATTTTCCGGACATTAAACTATTTTCTTCAGACCTCACTTTTTGCTATTACCTGTTGTGTTATCACCTTTTAAGAGGGGCTTTAAATAAAATATTTCGAGAGCCGTAAAATCATCGGCATTTTCCCTACATATATGGATCTTAATTGATTGATGTTTTTTGTTACAGATAAATCGATGGACTTCTAGGAATAGCTGTTAGGGCATTAAATTATATCTTTATTAATCTAATAAATATTTTTTTATTAAAAACATTAAGTATTCCATAAAAACATTACATATACCCTCCTTTTAAAAAAGTACTACTCTTTCATTCTGGCACAAATCCATCACAAAATTTCGATCCTTTGGTAAAATAATTAAATGTGAAAACATAATCTTGAATAATGCATAAAAACGATGTGTCTAAAATATCTATACATTGAAGGCTAATATATAAATATAATAATAAACTTAACCTAATAAATGCATAAAACATCAGCACTATTTAGTTTACATGCGGCAGAAAACCAGAAAAAAAAAACAAACTTAACTGTTTGATATAGGGTTCTAAAAATACTGAAATTAAAGCATCTTTAAATATGGTACCAATGAAAACTAAAAAAGTGCTGAAGTTTTTATTTCTAGCATAGCGGGGCACTGAGAAAATACATAAGTGCGTTCCGAAAATGTAATTTTGGGGAACACTACTACTGCTGCTGCTGAGATCTCGTGTCTCATCAGGATGGTATATGGAAACTTAACCTTAGGTCAATTGGTCAGTTTACTTAATCAGTCAGTACTTGGCAACCAGAACCTGAGCATTGTCATGTCATGTAAGGAACTGAAATTACCTTCTAGGAACTCTTCTGATTATGGTTCTCAGTACCCTAAACACCTAACATCTTATATGGCAGATATATAATATTGCATAAAACAAAATCGTATATAAACAGTGAATAAAAATTGATTATGGCGTGCATATAAAACTGTTGATTGTGTAAATAAAGGTGGCGAATTGGTACCAACCTAAATTTATAGTGTAGGCAAAGAATGGTCCATGCAATCTTTCAGGAGTGAGCCAGCCATCCTGTAAGAAATAATGAGATAATACACATTGGCTGCGAACGTAAAGCTTTGTCTATGACATTGATAAGGCTCAACTTTTAATTCCATTCTGAGGTGTACATCATACTTTATATTCTAACGACATTTTTGTGCGAGTAAAATTACTAGGAAAATTTCGGTATACAATCAGAACAAACCAATCGATGTTGCTAATGACCATGGGTGCTTTTCAAATCAGCTAAAAAGTGAATTTCCGTGAGGATTTGGTGCAAATGAAGTATGTCCTAAAAGTTTTGGCACACAATTAATTGGCTTTAATTTTAACAAACACAAAATAATATCAAGTTGCCTTTGGAAAAAATTTGTTTACTTACTTTACTGTCAGTTGACATTTATTTCGAAGTTTTCGCTTTAAGATGTGTAAATTAGAAATAAGAAAAAGTGTGTACAAGTTGGTTGGGCTGGTACTAGGTGTGTCAATCCCGAATGGGTTTCGTAATCCCGGGATTTTAAATTAAACTTCTATTTCTCAACAAAAAACAAATTAACTAAACAATTTCAAGGAACTTAACAAAGCATATACAGGGTGACTTTGAAGTTGAGTCATTAATTTTCAGATAATGATTGTAGAAGGAAGATAAACCAAAATATGTGTGTAAAAATTAAAAAAAAAATTTTAAAAAATGTTACCTTGTTTTATAAAATATCCTCCCGACAAGTATTTCAGTGCGGACCTGTATTTGATCGTGCGGTCTTGGAGCACATACCCTCCCGTGTGAGGACTTAAGTCACCTGATTCACGAGCCCTTTGTGCTACATTAACAAAGGCACTAGGGGTTGGTTGCACTCGATTGGGAAACCGATCCGCATAAATCCGTGTTGCCGTAGCAGCATTTTGTAAAATAAGAATCATGTCCACAAGTTCAGCATTTTCGTAAACATATGCCATTTTTTATTTCGTTTGAGCCACGCAGAAACACCACTCACGCGTTACCGACTGACACATCGAATGAATACAACTGAATAAAATAAATGAATAAAACATCGTGATAAGCGTTTCAAATTCTTTCGCTTTTTTGTTTCCGATTATATCCGTTGTTGCCAAACACGAGCACATATTATTATTGAGATATTTCTTTTGATCAGATCTACTCACTGTTAAAATAAATGACTCAACTTCGAAGTCACCCTGTATACTACAAACGACGACTATACATATAGATAAAAGTGTGATAATAAAGAGCTGATTGGGTGACACTAATGTTAAATCAATATAATATATAAAAATAAACATTATTTGATCTTTTTAGTAATAAACATGAACTAAAAAACATTCATAAGAACTGGGAACGAAAATTCAATTATAGATTGTTAAAATACGGTCGCAAAAATATGAGTGCGTTTAAAGTTTCGTCTTTTAGACGTGAACGGATTTTATGACATATTATATATCCTGCGGAAGAAAAGCATCTCTCGGACTCTACACTAGTGGGCTGAATTGTTGTTAGGTAATCGTATGCTTTCTGAAGCAAGCTGGCATGATTTCCGCCATTTAAAAAAAGATCAATTTCTTGGCTAAGTATGCCAGATGATCCTTTGGTCTTCTGCTTTGATTCTGAATGTGTAACTATTGTTTTTTGAAGTTTGATATCCAACGGTTCATAAATATCAATAAAACATTTATAAAATTATATACTAAATATCACCTAATACAATTTTTTGGGACTAATACCGAAATTAGGAGATAATCCCGGGATTTTCGAGACAGTTTTCTTCCGGGACCCCGGGATGGACATCGCTAGCGACGAGCATGGATAGCGTAGTTGGGGCGACAGTACCCTAAACATGTGAGCAGTACTCGAGGCTAGGTCTTACCTGGGCCTTGTATAGAGTTAGGTCTTGCGAAGAAAAGTACTTCTTAGCACTTCTTAGCCCTGAACAAATAGCCTAGCTTTTTCCCAGCAGCTGCCGCTATTGAAAAGATGTGTTCGTGCCAGATCAAGTTCTCGGTGATTGACTCCGACCAGGCGAACTCGGCCATTCATGAAAACCGGATGAGCGCTAGGACGGTTTTTGTTCGTCATAGAACAGTACTGTATTTTGGAAGAATTTAACTGTACAAGACTGTCGCGTCCCCAAGCAATTATAACCTCCAGGTCTCTCGTCAGAGAAGAAGTCGCTGCTAGTATATTCTTTTTTCCAGCTCGCCGGCAGAGATCGGCTTGCCGCTCTGGCTTCCTGCTTGAAGAGTGCTGTCATCAACAAAGCTGTGGATTGGGTTAATCGTACATGAAAGGAGGTTGTTGATATGTTACAGAAACAGTGTCGGAGCCAAAACCGATTCGTCGAGAACACCCGCGGTGACGTTGTGGGCTGAAGGATATCTTGCGGCCAGAGAGCAAGTCAGCCACCCATCTGCTTCCCGGGAAGGCCATAGGGCGGAGGTTGGCATATGCATGCATATTTCATCCTCTTAAATAGACGTCAAAATGTGTGGAAGTATTGTGGTGGTAAATGTTGTCAAACATTGAAGTCTGATTTCAAAACGAAATAGCTTAACACATCACACACCACTGCTAATGCGGCAATGGCACGCCTTAGCAGTCGCGTACACTGTATTATCCTACTCTCCTCCATTTTGGTACCCGAGTATCGTTGCTATTTAGGCTTTCTGCTGTCACCTAATGATATTAAGTGATGCTTTTTCATGATTCTAAAAAATGGTGTTAAATACTTACTTTTTAATCATGTGATCGTAGAGGAAACTCGGCATAACCGTGATGGTTACAACAGAACCAGTCTTCTGTATGATATCCCCGATGTGCTTGTCCTTCATTCCGACCACGTTCTGTCCATCCACCTCCAGTAACTGATGATCCGTGAGCACTCCATTTCTGGTAGCCGACGAATCTTTCACGATGTTCACGATACGACCGTTTTTGAACTGGAACCCGAGATTGCCAGCACTGTTTTTGTGTAGGGTTATTGTGCGTTCGAAAGGACGATCACGGACGACAACCTTGATGCCGTTCACTGGACTCTTTTTAAGCATATCATGAACCTGAAATAGATCCATTTGAAATAGTATTTTTTTTTGTTCTGTTATTAGCACTGGTCGATGTGAAATAATAAATTCGTATATTATGCAATGACTAGGCATAGAGTGTTCCACCATGACTCATTAATAATAAACTTCACTTTAGAGTTAGCGTCTGTTTTGTTATAAATACTAGCAGCATAAAGATGAATTATGGTGGGAAATAATGATTGTGCTTCTATGCCTGATGCATATATTCTGCGTACTACCTCTAGGAATTAACTTTTCTCTAAGATATAGATGTTTATATGTAAGCTTCAGTTTGTGGATGAAAATGAGATAATTATGCTTCACCAAATAGGGCATTTTGAATCAGCACAAATAAGTAAACTTATTTGAGACATGATCAAAACGTCTTACACCAAAGATAAATCTTACGCAACTGTTCTAAACAACCTGCAATCTGTTCTTAGCTATGCCGACGAGGCAAGGATAAAATAAAATATTACAGTAAGGTAAGAACTGGTATTACAAGTAACTCGTAGAGTTGTTGCCTCAATCTAAAGCTAAGGATAAAGTTGTTAGCATATAAATCACGGAGTCGCAGGTATGATTTCTTTAGGAGATTATTTACGTGAAATGATGCGATTGAAAACATGCTTATAAGAATAGCATTTCTATTTTGTACCTATAAGGAAAATGGAAATTATAATATAGCAAACAGATGCGTGATTCATAAATCTTTATAGTAGTAACAGCCTAGATCCGTTCGCGTGGAAATAGTGTAAAACATAGCTCATACGTTACGTTGATAGATGTTTTTTATTCAACACTTTAATGCAACAAATGTGAATGTCACTCCAGTCTGCTAGCATCACGTCTGATCCATAATACCATGAATTTGTATACTTACTAATTTATATAATTTTCATTCCTTTCGTTCGTCTATAAAAACCTTGATGAACATTATTACACAATGACAATATTTTTGATTTATCATAAGCATTCGGCTCGTAAATAAAATTAAAGACTATGGTTTCAGAAATGTCGTAGATCAATGGATTCTATCATTTATGTCAAACAAAAAACTTCAGGTTAAGCTGGGTAACACTATCTCTAACCCCCATGGCATAAACTTTGGAGTACCTCAGAGTGGATATTTTATTATTTTACTTATTATACATTTATGCCGCATACGTTTTTATTCTCCTATTCAACTATTTATACGTCATTTAAATACTGTTTTTGCTACTTATTTTATAACTTATTATCTGTTTTATTCTAATTTAGTCATGCACATTTTTCGTGTTGACGTTTCATATTCGCAAAGTAATTTGAATAAAGGTTATTATTATTTATTATTATTATTATTAGTATACTTGAGAAAGGTTATGTACTATATGGTTTTATCCGCGAACTCATTGCCGATGCCCTCAAAATGATCTCCAAAGAAATGACTACAGTGCAACCTCTTTAATCCGAACACCCCGCTGCCAGTCCGCATTCGGATTATCGAAATGTTCGGATTAACGAATATATGTTAAAATGCATATTAGGTACATTTACAAGTACATATGTACATTTTTATTTATACATGTACAATCTACAATTATAAAAGGATGTTAATAACAGTAAAAGCATACAAACTTTATCTAATAACAGAAACAGAAATAGTTATTTATTATGTACATAAGTGCTAAAAGTGACATTTTTATTTAGTGAGAATGAAAGTTTGACGAGCTCGTCGAGCGGTTCTTATCAAATAGTGGTTACCATAGGTATTTAATTGTCGTTGTGTATTTTATTTCTAATCTTTGTTGAACGCAATCATGACCACCTTCGCAACACTGAAACGCAGAAATAGCATTGCTTCAAACATAAATTGTGTATTTTGGAAACTGCAAATTTTTGGGATAAATATCCTTATTTATACAAACTTACCTTTATTTTTAATCCTTAGTACGACAAAATTTTAAAATGGGAGGTTTTCATTTAAAAAAAGGAGTTTTGTGAGGCGAAGTGTTTTATTACTTCGAACCTAAACAAACATAGCTATACGTAATCTAATTTTAAATTATCGGCTCAGATATATGCGCAATCTCGGAGAAATTCTATTCAGAGTTCAGCAATCTCGGGAAATTTCCAATTTTACCGGTCATACGAGGAGAGATCTCTGTAGCAATAGGCGGTAAAACGCAGAAGATAAAGTCGCAAATCTTGATTCCAGTTCAATTAGAAGGAATAAATATGGATGTGAACTGTTTGGTTATTCCACAAGTCAATTGCAATTTGATATTTGGATCAAATTGGTTAGCCAAGCATCAAGCACGTTTGGATTATCAATATTCACAGCTGAAGCTAATGATAGAAGGGGTTTCCGTAAATACGGAGCTGTCATTTCGGATTGATCCACAGAAAATATCTATAAACCTCTGCGAGAAAAATGATTATGTGTTTGATGTAGACGAAAATAAAGCTAGCAGGGTTACGCCACTGGTAGAGTACAGCGTTGATGACGGTGATTCCCGCAGCAAAGGCTACAGCGCGGAGAATATTCAGACAGCAGCAGCGAAAACTACTTTGAGTGGGAGTGCTAAGGCTTCACTTTTAAGTATTTTGGAAAAATATAGGAATACATTCTCTGATACACCGGGACGCGTCGTCAACTATTTCCATCAAATTGAGCTAGTGGATGAAAATGAATTTAATTTTGTGGCTTATCCTGTTCCTATGGTTTATCGGGGTGAAGTTAGAAGGCAGATTGGTGAAATGTTAGCGGCCGGTGTTATTCAAAAGGAAAGAACTTCCTACATTTCGCCGTTAGTTTGCGTGAAGAAAAGGGATGGAAATATTCGCTTGTGTTTGGACGCTCGGGGGCTGAACTCAAAGATGAAGAAGGATTTCGTGAATCCTCCCAATCCGTCTGAATTAATGGCCAATTTTAAACAGGGGCAAATTATGAGCACAATAGACTTGACGCAATCATATTGGCAAATTCCAGTATTGCCGGATCATACCAAATATCTTGGGTTTGTGTTCGAGGGTGAAACATATAGTTTTTGTCGATTGCCATTTGGGTTATCTACTACCATGGCAAGTCTTATTCGATGTTTAAATAAGATATTTTAGGGCTGTAATGATTTCGCGCAGTCATATGTTGATGATTTATTAATTTACTCGGAGAACATAGCGGATCATTTAAGGCATTTGAAGACGATTTTTCAGAGATTTATTGATGCCGGAATTACAATTAAACTAAGAAAATGTCAGTTTATTAGGGAAAAGGTACATTTTCTAGGTCATGTGATCATCTCAAGGGGAATCGAAATAGACGAGGGGCGTGTCAAAAATATTTCTGATTTTCCTGTTCCACGAAATATAAGAGAGCTGCGAGGGTTCTTGGGTCTGGTCAATTATGAACATCGATTCTGCGCCGGGTATGCCGAATTGACCGTGCCTTTGTTGAAGTTGCTGAAGAAAGGAGAAAAATGGCGCTGGGGAAGCGATGAAATAGAGAGTTTTAGGGCTATTAAGTCGGCCTTCCTAAAGTCCATGATGCTTGTTCATCCTGATTTCAATCGCACTTTTTATATTCAATGCGATGCTTCCGCATATGCCGTGGGGGGGGCAGTCTTTACCAGATTAACGATACGGGGGAGAAACAATATGTTTGCTTCGTGAGTTTCGTTTTGAACGGCAGTCAATTAAACTACACCGTAACGGAAAAGGAAGCTTGGGGGTTTGTCTCTTGTTTACGTTTGTGGCGCTACGATGTAAACTCTACGAAATTGAAGGAGGATACAGGTGTGGCGTATGAAAAACTGAAGAGGGAGGCTTCCAAAATTGTAAAGAGGGCTAAAGTGATGAAACCTGTTACTTTTGACCCGGGCGATAAGGTTCTAGTTAAAACGCATCCTCATTCGTCCGCCGAAGCTAAACTAATTTCTAAATTCTTTTTACTGTATGATGGACCGTATACCGTGTTACAACAAGCGGGACCCAACTCCTATGTCATTGGACATCTTGGTGGTAAGATTCATTCTAAGGAAAATGTAATCAATCTCAAAGCTTATAAGCAGCCTAGCGATGTTGTACTGGAGTAATGTTCCCGGTATTGCCTTGCACCCTCTGCTCTGTTTCGAGACTTAAATCTATGTTACCTCGATTTAAGTGGGGGGTTGTGTAGTGGTTCAGTGAGGTGCGCGGCAACTCGGCAACAGTGAACGAAATTGTGGTAGATCGAGCGAGGGGGCAGTTGCCCTTCGCCGCCCAGAGAGGCAACAGGTGACGTGACCATCTTCCGGATTTAAGGATTACCGGGTTCCATGTTTTTTTTAGTTAGTGAATTATTTTGTGCCTTACTACCATTAAAGTTTGTTAGCCATATCGCCGTCGTTATTACTGAAACCCACAAAAAACCCTGAGTAATATTGTGCAAGCTCGGATCCACCTCACAAGCCATCCTGAACTTGCCTTAAAATCTTCTTTTTTGCTATTTCTTTGTAGAAATTGACGTACCTAGAAAAAGAGTAAAAAGGTATGAAATGAAAGATCAGAAAATTATTAGTCATGGTGTGCATGGCCATAATAAACAGGGTGTTACTTAATGGTATGTCATAGTTTTAGGGTAGCATTTCTGGACCAATTTTAAATCAAACAGTTCATAGAAAATGGGCCCTAAATTGCTTGGTTTTTAAGATACATAGCGCTATTTTATTTTCAGTGTGTCTTCCATTTGTCAAAGACGGTCACAAAATTATTGTAAACGTCAATGTTATAATGTTTACAACAAAAAAAATTGCTGGCAACGAGCAAAGCTAACTTGATTTATTTTAACAACTTTTCAAGATGCAGCTATGAACATATAAGTAAAACCGTTTTTTCATAAAGGTAGAACAGGCTTTAAGATGCGCGGCGAGGAAAATACTTTAGACACTCCTTGTTGAGACTGCATTCACGCTCCTTTATGTTGTCTCTTTTTATTTCAAGTGATTTTTAAAAGATAAGAGAATAACAAACATTAG